GCCAAAGATACACCATTTCAAAAATTTCTACGTGCACAGTTCAGACATCGACTACGCTCTTCCAATTGTGCTGCTATTCTCACTTTAGATGAAGATTTACAGAACAAAATAGTTTAGGAAGAAACATTTTTACCCTTTCTTCCAATGGGCAAGGTATTCTTTCTCCACATTGTAAGAGTTTAAGATAGTCTAGATTTTCTAACACACTGAAGCTGCTCAAGTTATTAATTGCTAACATTATTATCAATATTTTACAAATGATAATATGGCACCTAAAATCTCCTATGCTTTTGCCCTTTTACCCTATAATGTCTTTGGGTCTATGTAAACTTCAAGTGCCCTGACTGGTAGAGCAATAAGTGCTCAAGGAGATCTGGTTCCTTTACTGAGTCTCAATAATAGATGTGTTGATTTATTTGTTTCTTACACTCACTTAAAAAAGGTTAATATAAAAAACCTTCCCACTGTTTCAAATTCCAATTTGTTTCAAAGTTTTCTAGAGAATTAACCAAGTCTAGATCATTGTACATGCGCATAATGAATCCTAAAACCCAAGAAAACAAACCCATTGCTATGAGTCGATTCTGACTCATAGCAACCCTATAGGACAGAGTAGTACTGCCCCATAGGCTTACCAAGGAGTGCCTGTGGATTCGAACTGCCGGCTTTTTGGTTAGCAGCCGTAGCTCTTAACCACTGTGCCACCAGGGCTCCAAAATGAAAACCTAAAGTTAATCCATGTTAGAATTTCAAGCAGGATTTAATGAGTCAGAGGAAATTTTTTCCAGATAGATGGAATTTGGGCTGGTAGGGACACTAGAGTAATTGGGAGAAATATTTTTTTAAATGCCCAAAGGATATTTTCAATATGTCCCCTAAGCCCAAGAAACTAGAACACAGACCATTAAAACTGTTCTTTCAATTAGCCCTCCCCCTCTCTTAACTTCAGCATTATATTACTTCAGGAGGGCCACTGGCTATACTTTATGCTGGTCTCAATCATAGCTGCAGCAGGTCAGCGTATGGAGTAATTAGAGATACCCTAGAGATTGCTATTGTTGTTAGGTGGCATCAAGTTGATTTCAACTCCTGGAGACCCTATATGACAGTGTAGAACTGCCCCACAGGGTTTCCTAGGCTGTAACATTTACTGGAGCACATCTGCAGGTTTTTTCTCCTACTTAGCTGCTGTGTGGGTTACAAATGCCAACTTCAGGTTAGCAGCCTAGTGCTTAACTATTGGGCCACCGGGGCTCCTTAGTAGAGTCAGAGCACAAAATAAATATATCTCGGAGTTTGGTTTTTCTTTTTTTATTCAACAGTGATTATTCCATCATCTCGTCCTTTTCCAAACTGACATAGCAGTTGTTCATTTTTTGACAAAACATTCAACTCTGTTTTAAAAAGAGTTGTGTACATTTCTTCTATTTTATTATTATTATCATAATTAGAATAAAGAATCGTGGAGAATGAAAACTCTGTCTCGTAAATATTTGTATTCCCTGCCCCCCTCCCCTCAAAAAACAATAACCCAGAAGGCAGTCAGGCCAGTGCCAGGGCACTAGGCTTCCGATGTTTTTGATGAATGAATAAATTATTTCTGATTTATAAGTAGGACAACATTCTAACGCCCCAGTCCTATTTTATTATTTTTATACACTCGCTTAAGTGACGTCACATACACATTCTGGTTCACTTTCAGCTCTCCTTTTCCTTAAGCTACAGTCTCTTATCTCCCTAGAGGACTATTTCCAGATTCCACAAACGGTCTGACTTGGGATCAAACACGCGCATTCTCAAGCGTTGCGATATGAAATACTAATGAGGAAGTCAGGCGCTAAGCCTTCAGGGTTTCTTATCTCTCTGTGTTAACCCACCACTGAGAAGGGGGAACCAGGGAAGTACGAGTGACCCGGTACGTTGGACCCTGTCCGCTGTCGCTCCGGCCACTTTGATCTCGTGCGTCTGCCTAATCAAGTTCATCTACTGCCAGGACTGCTCAGATTCAAAGAACAACATTAAATAGTTTGATTATCGGGTGGTCATTTCCCTGTTCCCTCCGCCCCTGATCTAATTTCCAAACTCCAGTCTCTCGCCTCCCTCTCTCTCTCGGCTTCCCATCAAAAGAGAATTAGTTCTTCCTTTCTTACCCTCGTTTGATGTGCAAATTTCCTTCTCTTCACATTTTTTTTTTGGCTGTGGAGGGTTGGGGGGCAGGGATTGAACGAACCTAAGGACCCCGTCGCCAAATCCTGGAAACTGCAACTCTAAAGGGTTAATCAGCAACTTGCACTGGCCACCTGGCCCTCTCGTAGAGGCAAGTTTCAAGACTTTGAACTACTGATGAGTTGTATTTAATACTGAATATTATTCGTGTGCACCGTTAAGTACTGGACCCCCGGAGAAAGATGCGGCAGTACGTTTAGGTAAAGATTATGGCCTTGGAAACCCTGTGGGGCAGTTCTACCCTGTCCTATAGGGTCGCTGTGAGTCCGAATTGAGGCCAGGGCGATGGGTATGGGAGTTAAGAAGCAAAAGATGGTTTTGCAGAGAAGATCACAATTCCGCTTTGAAAAGTATTTCAGTTCTCGATAACCTAGATCCTACTGCAAGGCAAGGGCGTCCTAATGCCTCCCTCCTCCTGCCTTTATTAAAGTCATCGGCTCTAATGCTCACAGATAACCGTCACCTTTAAGGTAACCGGGGCCAGAGGAACGACCGCGCAAGGGAGGGGCGGGGTGAAGAGTGTCAAAGGCCCCTCTTCATGTACACAAACATACCCCCTCCCAGCCCCACCCAAGGCTTTGAAATCCCATTCCGGCTTTGTTGTCTCCCCGGAGGGGCGGGAATGCTCAGAGCCCGCAGTATAAAGGCAGCCCCGGTGGCGGTGGCGGCGCAGAGCTCGGTGCGCCCCGCAATCAGCGCTCTGGGAACGCACGAGGCTCCCGGAACTCTGATTGCAGCCGCGCCAGCCGGGGCGCTAGCTTCGTGGAGACCAGGCTTGCCAAGTGACATCCCTCCTTTCTCTTTCTTTCTCTATCTTGACTCTTTCTGAGATGATGTCTCTGGGCGCAGTAGCAGCTGCCCGGCTCTTGGTCGCCCTGGTAGCGGCGGCTCTTTGCGGCCACCCTTTGCTTGGGGTTAACGCCACCTTGAACTCCGTGCTCGTCAATTCCAACGCCATCAAGAACCTGCCCCCACCGCTGGGCGGCGCTGCAGGGCACCCAGGCTCCGCGGTGAGCGTGGCGCCCGGAATTCTGTACGAAGGCGCGAACAAATACCAAACCATTGACACCTACCAGGTGAGACGGTTCGCGGGGATCCGGGGATGCTATGACCCTGAAGGGGTCCCATTTGGGGATGAGGGCGTAGAACGTGCCGGGTGTGTATGATTCAGGTCGCATTTGGAGACGCTGCATTTGGGAGCAGTGGGCGGCAACAGTTTTTTGGAGAAAGAGACAGAGGGGGACCGTGATGAGCGTCTGGATCAAAGAGCGTGGGCACCTGAATACCTGGTGCCTCATCCTCTCCATGTGCCTCATCCTCTCCACGTCCCCTTCCCGCAGCCGTACCCGTGCGCAGAGGACGAGGAGTGCGGCACAGACGAGTACTGCGCGAGTCCCATGCGCGGAGGGGGTGCGGACGCGCAAATCTGCCTTGCCTGTAGGAAGCGCCGAAAACGCTGCATGCGCCACGCTATGTGCTGCCCCGGGAATTACTGCAAAAATGGTGAGTCACGCAACCCCCATTAGATCTCCGACCATTCAGATTTTGCTCAGCTACGGATGGGAGAAACGCTCGCTGCGCTGCGGACGCTGCAGCGCCACCTGCAAATAATGACTCTAGAAGCCACCGTCGGTGTTCAGCCTGCGAGGTTCTCCTGAAATGTCTTTATTGTGAGTGTTTAATGGGGGAGGAGATAGAAAGGAGTACCGGGGTCTTGGAGCTCCTTATCTTCCCCTTTGTCCCTTAGGATTTAAACTGACGGTTTACCCCGGACCCTTCCGTAAAAAATTTGTATGGGGAGAAAACCTGAAGTCAGTTAAAGAGGATGGTGAGGTAGGTGGGAGTATACAGAAAGAGAAGCCTGGGAAACCAGCATGGGTGTTTAGCTGTCCTTTCCGTTTTCCTTACTGTGGACTCTCATGACTCTGCCAGCCTGGTCTCTACCTCACCATCCCTGTTGCAGTTATTGTCAACCAGCGAACAGAGTGATTTATCTGCCCTGACCATTCTTGCCTCTCCCTCCTTTTCTGCTGTCACACCCGTGCTACCTTAAATTAAGTACCCCACCCCTACCTACCACAGATCCACTAAAATTTAATGTCTCAAAGATGTAGACTCTTTGGTAGACTCAGCCAACCAAAGAATTTTCCAGAAATAAACTTACAGGGTGGCAACCCTCCTTAGGACCCAGCAATACTCCAGGATGAACTAACAAAATCTCTGTAATACAGAAATTATACAGTAAAGCAACTGGTGAGCGAGATTGTAATCTTCCAAGCAGCTGGAATTTCATTTGCTTAATTTAGTCTGGCAGTGTCTATATAGCACCAAGGGCAGAGAAGTTATTTTTAAAAATATATATATATATATATTTTTTTTTTTTTAGTGACTTTCTGTTTTTTAACCCAAGGGTAATATTAAAATGGACAGAAATCTTACTGCCACTACAACATTTGGAAGGAGAACGTTTTAAGTGGCTCTCCTGGGGATGTTGCATATGACTGCACAGTGTACACGTCGGTGCTTCTGTCCATGGGAGGAGTTTTCCACTAACACTAGGGAGGCAATTTTGCTGGTGTGTAAAATAATTTCCCTGCAACAAACTATGTAGTTGGTGCAGACTGGACAGACTGCCCCTGTTAAAAAGCAAAGCTGTTAGCAGTAAGGTATTACAACCCTAGAGTTAATCATTGTCTCTTACTTCCTTAGGCATATGTATGCCTTCTGATCACAATCATTTCAGTCGAGGGGAAATTGAGGAGACCGTTATTGAGAGCTTTGGTAATGACCACAGCACCTTGGATGGGTACTCCAGGAGAACCACACAGTCTTCAAAAATGTATCATACCAAAGGTATATTAAAGAACCTTAAAATTCATTCTACTTTGTTAACATATGAGAAGTGTCTTTCAAATTATCTTAATGAAATCATGCAGACTTAGTAGTCACCATGCACTTTCCCCCTGTATCTCCTCCTTCCTAGGACAAGAAGGTTCTGTGTGTCTCCGGTCATCAGACTGCGCCACAGGGTTGTGTTGTGCTAGACACTTCTGGTCCAAGATCTGTAAACCTGTCCTCAAAGAAGGTCAAGTGTGCACCAAGCACAGGAGAAAAGGCTCCCATGGGCTGGAGATATTCCAGCGTTGTTACTGTGGAGAAGGTCTATCTTGCCGGATACAGAAAGATCACCATCAAGCCAGTAATTCTTCTAGGCTTCACACCTGTCAGAGACACTAAACCAGCCATCTGACTGCAGTGGACTCCTTTTATATAATATATGCTATGAAAACTTTTTATGACTTTTTTAGCTCAATCCTAAGGATGTACAAATTCTGTGATTATAATTAAGCATTCCAATAACACTTTCCTAAAATCTGGAGTGTAAGAGCTTTGTTTCTTTATGGGAACTCCCCGTGATTGATTGCAGTAAATTACTGCGTTGTAAATTCTCAGTGTGGCACTTACCTGTAAATGCAATGAAACTTATTTTTCTAAAGGTGCTGCATTGTCTATTGTTTCTCCTGTTACGTAAATTTTTGTACACATTGATTGTTATCTTGACTCTGATAAATATTCTATATTGAATTAAATAAAAAATTTCAGTTTATACTTTCTAAATGCATAACCCGCTCCCCTTTTAATTCTAGAGTCTAGAATACAAGACACTCTTGGAATGACAAATGATAGGTACCTAAAATTTTCCATGAAAATACTAGCGTAGTTCATGAAATGTGCCATCTCAGTGTTTAGATTATATTTATCTTTAGGTTGTGATAGTCCTTGAAAATAAAATGTAACATTTAGTACTATGAAATGTTACAAGTATAGGTGAATTTTGGCATTGTGATTTTAGATGGGAGTGTGTGTGAGCATGTGTGTGTTCTACAGGGACAGAAATGTGGTACATTTAAAGATGATGAAGAAAAGATATTGTCTAAGATAATATTGATCTATTCTAGAGTAACTAAAAAAAATGTGTTGTCTATTAATAAGCTTAAATGATCATAACAGTATGAGATTGAATTTTACATTACCACTTCAAAAAATAGTTTCCAATAAATCAGTAATATTGACCTTAATGGCCAATAACTGTTGGGCAGAGAAAGAAATCAGCCACAAGAGTAATACCAGAGCAAAGTTCTTGATGGTTGGCAGGAAGAAGGGGTGTGTGTGGAAATACAATTAACAAATAAGCAGATTTTGTACCAAATAAGCTAATTTCAAGTATCTTAAATCTTACTACACACCAGCCAGACATGTTCTAATTACTTTGATATAGAAATAATTATTAAATAAAAATCACAAATCCTCTCCCACCCCTCTTTTTTCTTCTTTTCCAGGGGAGTTGAATAGTTCAATTTTTGTTTAACCTGAAATCTCTTGTAGAAAGGAGGGCGGAGATACATTGTTTAAAAGAAAACCCACAGAAATGCTACTAAATTGGCTTTGTATTTTTACTGGTCAGTTTGGCATTGCTTATACTAGGGAAAGGGGAAAGCAATCTTCCCAATTTTACACTTATTCTATAATATTCTAAAAGTCTGCATCAACCCACAAAATGCTGGGTTTAAGGCATTCCAAGGACAGTGACTGATCAGTTGTCCAAAAAGTTTCTTTAAATAACTCAGATGCCCTAGAAGGTTTGTTGTTTTTGTGTTCCCGGAAGTGACTCGGATTTCAAGGACCTTCAGCCTACAGGACTTAAGCCTTGGTTGGTCCTTCACAGAGAGGAACTGGCAGGATGTCTGTTGTTACATTCCTTTTGTCTGGAAGTCTCAGCTTCCTCGCCCAGGAGAAACTTTCTTTTTCTGCGCGTGCTTGCTTTCTGAAGTGCCAAGAAGGCCAATTGTAAGGCCTGCTGTCTCCAATAAAGCATAATGGAGAGGAAACAGAAAACCCTTTCTGCAAAAAGAAGAAAGAAGAGCCTTCTGTTTAAGAGGGAAAAGTACCAAAGGTTTAAATGGCCCTGCTTATCAAATCGTTCTTTTCTACGGGAACCAACTGTGGCCAGAGCCTCTCGGTCTCTGTACATCTCTGTACCACCAAAAAGGAAAGCTCTTCTTGCTTTCCATCTCAAAATGGGGGTGGGGTGGGGTGGGGAAGGATGAGAAATCAACCAAGGTCAGACACCTCTTCTTACCTATCCAACTGAGAAGTTGGGACGTTAGGAAGGAATTTCCAGCAGAAAGAGAGTCTGCGTATTTATAAAGTTGAAAAAAGAATATAAAAAAAAATTACTTTGTTAGCTAGTACTGAAGGCTGTAAGGAGGAAGTGAGATACAAGCAATCTCTAATATTTTAGGCAATGGTTGCTTAAAGTGTGTATTTTATTTTCATTTTAAACAATTTATTTGAATGGAAAATGCACATGGGAAAATTTCACAAGGTATTTTATGAAATCTTAACGTACTCTACATACTGCCCTGCACCTTGCTCTTTTTATTTTGTGTCTTGCAAATCATTCTCTGTAACACATAGAGAGCTGCCTTGTTCATTTGAATGGTTGCACTAAACGCATAGTATCTTGGAATGGCTATACCATGATTTATTCAACCAGTCCATTATTTATAGTTCTTTCCCCTGTTTTTACTGTAACAAATAAGTGTGCCACAGTATGGAATTTTTGTGTGTCCGTGTGCTGGTATAGCTGTAAGATAAAATAATGACTGATTTTTGAGACAAAATGCAAGATCTATGCTTTCTGTAGATACTTTTAAGGTCTGCAATAGGCAAAATATCAGGATGCCCGAGTATCACTGATCTAGTGATGATTAAGCTCTTGCTAAATTGTATCAAAGGAGGAAGAGGGAAATACAGGCTTATCCTAACAATTTCACAGTGATCTCTGGCATTCAGTTGAAGGTGGACTTGCTCTAAATACTTGGATTTTAAAATAAGTATTAAATAAAAATCACAAGTCTTTCCCTTGTCCCCCTTCTCTAGTTTTGCCAGGGGAGTTGAATATTTCAAATTTTATTTAACCTGAAATCTATTGATTGGAAGGAGGATGGGGGTGTGTTGTTTACAAGAAAAACCACAGATATGCATCCTAAATATGATGATTCAGTAATTTAGGACCACAATCCGGGTACTGCTAGAGAATTTTAATTCAACAAACATTCACTGAGCACCTGTACGAACTACGTGCACACTATGGTCTCCAATTTCCTTACCATTTAGCAAGGGAGACAATAAACAACCATCAGTGCTGGAAGTTGGTTTAGTATAGTGGTTAGAAACACAGTCTCTGCAATCAGGTAGACGTGGGGTGGAGTCATGGCTCCTTTAGTTTCTAACTGCATGACGCTGGGCAAAGACTATAACCTTATTGATAACACGGAGAGAATAGCCATTTTAGAACGTAGGTGTGAGAATAATGCATGCATATAGTTAGCGTTATATCTAGCTCATAGTAAGTGCTCAATTTTGGATCTTTACTATTGGAGAAGAAAACATATATTGTGAGGAAAAGACCTGCTGATCTTCTCCCTGTAAAGATTACAGCCTAGAAAACACTATGGGGCAGTTCTATTCTGTCACATGGGGGAAGTTCTGAGTCGAGAATTAGGCATATTATATTACACGCCTAACAACAGGTTAAAAAGTGATTAAATCAACCTTTACCAGCTCAGAAAAACACTAGAGGTGGTAATTGAATCATCTTCTCAAGATCCTTTCATTTCAAAGATGCGGAACCCATTTAAACCAGCGAAAATAAAGAGAAGTCATGGGTTGGAATAATACGTCTCCTGGAAACTTTTCTGCACACTGACTTCATTAGCTTGCTTATGATTTCAGCTCCACTGTAATTTGCACAAGCCTATGGTTTGTCATGATATACAGATTCTGGTCCTGATATAAATGACCTTCTAGCTTAGCTTTGCTCAGCAAACTGCTTAGTCTCCCAGCAACCCTATTCCAAATTCCTGCTTGAGGGTTCTGACTGGCTGAGCTTTAATTAGGGCTTCACCTCAGATCCAGTTGACTGGCTTCCCAATACATAAACATGGCTAACCACTCCACACTGGAAACGCAATGGGGGCAGCTCTACTCTGTCCTATAGGATCTCTATGAATTGGAATCAACTCGACGGCCATGGGTTTGGGTTTTATTTTTTTATTTTTTATGGTGGTTATGGAGTCCCTAGGCAGAGCAAATGGTTAATGTGTAGAGGTGCCTCAGAAGAAAGGCCTGGCAACCTACTTCCAAAAAATCAGTCATAGATAACCCTATGGAGCAGAGTTCTACTCTGAAACACATGGAGGTCAACATGAGTGGGAGTTCATGAAGCAGCAAGTGGTTATGGTAGTTCCAGAAGGAGTGTGTAAGAACAGGCACCTAAATCATGTCAACCACAAATTAGTGTTTGAAGAATGAGAAGGAGTTCACAAGGCAGACGAGAAAGGAAAGGGTATTGGAGACAGAAGAAACAATGAGAGCAAATATATGAAGCTGTGAAAATAAAATATATACTGTATTGAGAAAGCAAGTAATAATCCACTGTGGCTAGAGTGTGAGAGATCTGGGAGACAAACTTCTCTGATTTTTGATAATGTAATTTGTTGTCCATGAAAAAAAAAAAAAGATGAAACTTCATTTCCAGCAACAGTTACCACACATTTCCAGCAACAGTTACCACATTAGGTGGCAATGGAGTTGAAGAAGATATGTTTGAGACATATTTTTATCTCAAAAAGTTACTAGACTGTCTTCACAAACCATGAGGATTTTTTTTTTCTTTTGACCAAAAAAAAGTTAGGAAATAATGATAATACAACTTTATTTCCAGTAACTGTTATTAGATTAGGTGGAGTTAGAGTTAAAGAAGATATGTTTGAGACCATTTTGGTTTTGACTGATTTAATTAACACAGAGTTTACAAATCATGTTGGAGTGTTTTTGCCAAAAAAAATTAAAATTATATGACAGTCTCAAAATTCTAGTAAATGTAAAATAACATTTGGAGGGCAGTGGCAACCAACTCCCTGCTATTATAAACTATTAATTTTATTGTAAAAAACAGAATTGTCAAAAGATATGTAACTTGGCTGAGCATGATAACTCTATATTATACTTCACAATATTTCACACTAAATTTTTCCTGATGAGCAAAAATTACTTTCTAAAATATTCCTGTATTGAAACTTCTCACGTATCTCTGAGACTCTGAAGTTCAAATTAAAAGCAGAAGATAATCTTCTGTCATGACACAACTGCAGAAAACTGGGCATTCTCGTGCATTGCTAGAAGAAACTGAAATTGGCACGACTTTTCTCGAAGGCAATTTGAACGGTGTTTTAAAAATGTGAAAACTCTGATGCAGCAATTTCACTTCTAGAAATTTAGTTTAAGAATAGAATCATAAATATGTACAACAGTCTATCTGCAATGATAATAGAAAATAAAAATTAATGAAATATCCAATAATAGGGAACTGTTTAGGCAGTTTATGATATGTCCTCAAAATATTTTGCAATCATTACAATGATATGGAGAAATGTTTGCAATTCACCAATAAAGAAAAAAAAGCAGGTTGCAGAACCACATGCACTGTATGATCTGAATTACTGTTGTAAAGACATCAAATATCGAACTTAAGTCCAGATGGCCATATTTGGGGGGTAAGATTGTGGGAACTATTTTACTTCTCTCATTTCATTATTTTCCATAATAATCAGACAAGATATTATTGTTATTATTAAACCTAAACTGTGGACTGAGAGTCAGTTTTCTTCCTAAACCTTTCCATATATTAAGCACATATCTTGATGTACCCCAGTCTGATTAAGGAAGATGATAAACAATAACAACAAGAAAACATTGCC